CGAACATGAAGGCTAGAACTAAATTCATGAGGTCGCACGAGTGAAAACATTCTAAATTTTCAGCTTTCTAGCCTGTCTGGCTCCTTAGGTGAAAGCCAGGGATAAAATGCACTCAGACAAACAAATACACACATACACACAAGCACACACACACAAACAAACAAACAAAAAAACAAACGCTGACAAGTGCATGACATTATGTCATTGTGTAGCTGTTACGCAACACGAACCGTATAAAAAGCATCGGCATACACGCAAACACGCAGATCTAAATGTGCATAGTTGATCGAGAAAACTATCTTGAGAAATGCACTAAAGACCAACTATGGGAGTGCCAAATCGTAAGAATATGTACAGAGACCGTCCTCGTTGAGTTCACCGTCACCAAAGAAGAAATCTGATGAGGTGGACGCCATCTGCGGGGGTACGCTGGAAAATACAGACATGGTGACATCCTGCCCATTCATGTTCCTCACCACTCCACCAGACGATAAACTGGACGGAAAGCGTGAACGCGATGTTACATCGCCAGCAATCGCATCATTCTTCCCTAAAGAAAGTATCATAGAAAAAGTGCCAGCGCTGATTAATCACTGTTTCTTCTTGCAAATTATTAAACACACAATACGCAGAGATTTAAATTCTCAGCAAGTTCAGCACGAAAAATGCATGTCTTTTCTTTTTTACAATAAAAAGCTCGCAATACACCATCACTTACTGTCTGCTGCAGGACCAGGGGCAGGAGGCGATGCATCGTGACTGGTCGATTTCTCGAAAAATGACGTAAAAGCACAAATAAGGCCAACTACACGCCATGTGTGCGCAATGTCATATCTTCTCAAATCTTCAGCTATCTGACTATTGTAAAAGCATAAAGCTGGTGCATCATCGCCGTACAGTTTGTACCTGTATAAAATAACTCGTAAAAATAGGTGCATAAACGCTGCTCACAAAAACACATCCGAGAAGAGTGCTTCGGTTCAGTGCATTTGAAGATTAATTCTCTTCAAACAAACACACATGATTCTCAAATATGAAATAGAAGAATAGAAGAATTTCACTTGAATGTCATGTGTATGAAGACATTTTATGATGCAATCTGTGTTTCATCCCCTAGCTGTATACAAAGACCGAACAGTGCATGCGGGTAAGAGTGGAAATCATCAGTACAGTCTCCTATCCGCCACGTTTTTAATAGTCATGTGTCTAATTTGCAAGACGGATGACAGGAAAAAAGTTTTAAGCGGGAAGTGCGTTGAAACAGCACTTTATTTCGAGAAAATATGCGCCGCAAAGAGTCCGAACTGATGGGGTGCCGGCAAGGCCCAACCACAGCGAAGGGATCTGAGCACAAAAGAATAGACAAAAGTGAGCCAAAATTCCACTATAAGCCCAGTCAGACAATCGTTCTAGTGATTTGCGTGAATATTTGGTGTTGCTCGGCACACAGTGCAATTTTCTCACACCAGTGCAGCTGGCTGTATTGTTCAAACACCTAAATGGTTCGTTGGGTTTTACGGGTACAAATGACTTTCATCAGCCCGGTAAAACTTAACTGCCCTTCCTGTCCTCTTAATCCAGCTGCTCTTTAGCCTCACACTATGCAAATTTTACATTTGTTAATGGCACAGAACTAAAAAGCTACCAGAATGCCTTTGAAAAAATTGCTTGCTGCAAAAGAAGATGAGAATAAACTGACCTTCTAGCCATCCAGACAAAGTGATGTGATGACACATGTACATTTGTTTTGGTTGGTTCACAACAAATCAAAAAGCTCGGAACGCTTGACTGAAATGGGTCATATTTGCGCCTTCTGGGAAGAACATCTTCACCTCTCCGAGCCTTTTCCATGTCCGACAACGCATCATTCTTCAATTTCAATTGACTGCTTACTGGAACAACCAACGAAAAATTAGATGCACTGCTCCTAAACGAGGAGACAATGACTGTAAACAGTCTTCGCTAATCTGTTTCACTTTTTGACTGCAACTAAGCAAAGCTGTAAGGCAAATAGAGGAAAAACCAAAACATTCACAAGGACGCTGGGACCCAGGAGCACGTGAAAGCTGAATTTAAATTTACAGGGTCACATGTAGGCAGAGGACAATAAACTAAAATTTCAGCTTCCCAGCTATGATGGCTCCCAAAATAACTTCTTCCACCAAAACTTTCACAGGGTCGTACCTATGAGAAGCTGAATTTGAATTTTCTTGAATTTAGAGTTGTGAAGTTGTACCTAGGCAGGAAGCATTGCCGCAAAATTTCAGCTTCCTAGCTTTTGTGGTTCCCGAGATAATTTCCCCCACCAAAACTTTGGCGAGAACATGCGTGGTATCCGCAGGCAATTGGAAGCCGAATTTAAATTTGCGAGGTCTTACATGAGCGGGAAACATTCTACTAAAATTTCAATGTGTTTCCCCAGCAAAGCTTTAGCGGTGTGATATGTGGTATCTGTCGGTAACTGAAGACCAAATTTTAACTTTGCGGGGTCACACTTGGGCGGGGAACATTTTACCAAGATTTCAGCGTCCCAGCTTTCGCGGTTTCCAAGTTCAAAATGCGGAATAAAACGCACTCGAACACATACACACACACATACACACAGACAACCCCGTGACAACATGCGTTTTGTACTGCTATTACACAGCAAAAAACGCATAAAAAGTGAAGTGAAAAAAATATCGTCCCGCTTGTGGTCCGAGGTCTCCTTGTCTATAACAGATATTAAATCATAACGTCTTTCATGATCTAAACAACTAGTATTTCAGTGGCTTTGAACAACGGTGGATCGCCGGGAGGTCGAAGTGCTGTTGATTTTGGCATCCGTTTCACCAATCGAAGCTATTTACCAGCTAGTGATGCCCTCAAGAGATTCACACTGGCAAGGCTTTACTCAATTCGAGATGTCATCAATGTCCTGTGAATTACCACCTTGTACTGAAGGTTAGTTCTCCTGACTACGATCAGATACCTTGCCAACTAGAGTTATCATATGCCCCTCTATAATGCAGAAAATACCCTTATCACGCCGACTCATAGACCTGTTCCATTATCGCTTGCCCCAGTTCGAGTAAATTTCATCATTGTTTCTACACTCTTGTTTTTATGCGTTTTTGCCGTGCAGCGCTGGAGCGCTGCAACAGGCAGCAAAAACGCATATTGGAA